ACAAAGGCCATGGAGATCAGGGTGACCTGGGCCTAAGCTATGGGCGGGGCCATGTCTGAATCTGTGATCCTAACACAGTCAGAGTCTGTGTTGAGGTCCATGGCTCCTCTTGTCTTATTCCTGTGGGTAGCACCCAGGCCACATTATAAAGAAACATTGGGTAAGTACAATTTCCATTCCAAAGATGAAAACATGAAATTATCTAATTCAGGGACCATTCCAATGACCAAATCAAATCAATACCTGTTTGATCTGATCAACTGCATGGAAACTGGCCATTATGATGGCAGAGGGAAGAGGAACATTCAATAAAAAATGATTGATTCATTGTTCCCTATAAAGGGAACATAGACATGGATTTTATTTCAAATGATCTGGGTGAGGAAATAAAAGCCGTGTAAGCTCTGAGGAAATGAGTGTTTTTCTTCCTTGAAATAATTCAATTTCCATACCTGATTTCCTAAGTGGAGCACAGCACACAAGGTGGGTATTCCATGTCAGTCTCTCTTGCAGGCAGTTGCATCTTCCAGCTCTCCTGACTCAGGAGAGCTGGAGGGAGAAGGAGGAATTCCCAGTTCTCCTTGGTCCCACACTCCCCTGCACTTCCCCATTGCTGCTGAAACACCCCCACCAGGTGCACTCACTGATTCTCCTTGTCAGAGCTCTCTCCTTTTACATTAAATGTGTGGAAAGCATTCTATAACCGGGGGACGGGGGAGTGTGCTTATCAGTCTCGGAATTCCAAAGTGACTTAGCCAGAACTCAACCAGCATCAGGTGACGCCAGTTGAGGGTTTACTCACAATTAAAACACATGGTGTTCCCTCAAGTGATCACACCACTGAGAGGACCAGTGTTTTTTGTCCCTCTCACAGAGGAAATCCCAGGAGACAGTGAGTGAAATGAAAATTCAAAATACACTGGAGTTTCTAAATGGGGATTTGTTTCTTCTAGAAGAACCATTCTTCCATATTTGGTAACCCCGACTCATACACACACACTCACAGCTTGCACAGAGTTTGCAGGGCATCCAATGTGGTTCATGTGATGGATACAAGATGATACCCAGTGATAGCAGAGGAAGAGGATGGAATAGCGTGTTTTTGGATTCAGAAGCTGGTTGAGAATACACTGCCTCCCACTCCTTGTTCCCTTCTTAAATCAAGCTTTGGCATGCAAAGTGACTTAAATTAATAATAAGATGAAGGGAAGTCTACTTCTTCTGAGGGATATTAGTGGGAAACATAGAGGTGTCAATCCAGTCAGCGAAATTTGAGAAGAAATTTGGAAATACCCCAAGTTACCTGGAGGTGGGAGACTTCTCAAGTTCAAGTCTCCAGATCCCATTATGAAGCCCAAGGAAGTACTGGAGGAAATCACCGAGTTTTAAATTCTTTGCACAGCTTTAATCTCTGGTTAAATACTAAAAGCCCCATTGTTACAGTCTGCTCTCTATTGTTGTGTGTGCACACACACACTTGAGTGTGCATGGACATGTATGTGCATGTGTGTGCATGTGTGTGTGTGTGTGTGTGTGTGTGTGTGTGTGTGTGTGTGTACGTGGAGACCATGGGACAATCATCCCTCTTGTTTGAGACAGGTTTTCTCATTGGCCTAGAGCTCACCGAGTAGGCTAGGCTGGATGGCCAGGAAGCCCCAGGAATTCTTCTGTCTCCATCTGGCCAGGATTGCAGTTGCAGATATGCAACACCACATAGACATTTTATGTTGGTAATGGGGGTCAAACTTAGGTTTCTTTGCTTGTGTGTCAAGTACATTGGCCACTGAGCTATCTCCCCGACCCTTCAAATCCATTATTCATTTACTTACATACAGAATGACCCTTTTAGCCAAATATAACTTTGTAACACCAAATATTGGCATTTGGAAAATATTTGCTCTTAAATAATACAGCTCTTCCAAATGCCAACATGTCTCAATATTCAACATTAGAAACTCCCCCGTTGACATTGCCAGTAACCTCATCAAAGGGATTGTGCTATGTAATTTTATGTTGACTTGACACAAGGCTATAGTCATTTTGGGAGAGGAAAACTGAATTGAGAAAATGCCCCCATAAGATTGACTTACAGGCAAGTCTTTCAGACATTCTTTATCAATGGTTGATGTGGAGCGATACAAGTTATAAGGACTCAGGCATTATGCTGGCCTGCCCCTGCCACCTGGAAGAATGCACTCAGGCAGTACCCTGGTCAGCCCAAAGTTCTATGGAGGTGCAAAGGACTCCTTTAAGAGAAAGACCCCACCCACTTAACAGTCTTTCTGCCCGCTCATCTTTTTCTGTTCTCTTCTCTTTCCCACCCCTCTTCCCCACTCTCCCCTTTCCTGTTGTTCCCCTAGTGCAGACTAGACTTTTCCTGTCTCCCTCTTCTCTCTGTGTCTCTTTGCCTCTTTTCTTTTCCCTTCCCCCTTCTTCTCTGTTTCTGGTTGGCCAACATGTACCCTCCACCTTGTTCCCTTTCCCCAGTAAACTTCACAAGGGTTTGTTGAGCTTTATGGTCCATGTTTCATCACCCGCAGCTGCAGCAAAACAATAGCACAGGTCACCGTGGATGGTGCCACCCATGGTTTTGCATTGTATAAGAAGGCAGGCAGAGCAAGCCAATGAGAAGCATCCTCCGTGGTTCTGCTTCAGGTCCTGCCTCCAGATTCCTTCCCTGACATTCTTTGATGATGGACTGTGATGCAGAACCATATGGTGAAAGCAGTGCTTTCATCCACACATTGCTTTTGGTCATGGTGTTTTATCACAGCAATAGAAACCATTACTAAGGCAGAAGTCCTTGGGAATCACAGGCCATCAAGCTTCAGTAGGAGATATATGTTGTTTCCTGTAATTCTACATTTGCTTAAAGGCACAAATATTATCACTAGCAAAAGAATAATTTGATAATTTGTTTTATTCTTTGAAGTGCCAGGGTCGTTTTGTTCATTTTCACGGATGTGTGTGCCAAATACCTAAGTCTCAGTCACAACCACAACAACTCATGAAAAGAGAGACTTACTCGGTTCATAGCTCAGCACATTGCAGTTACTTTGTCTGTGAAAGCCATTGTGGTTTGATATGTGTCTGTGCCTTTTATAGATATTTCCATTTTATCAAGCAAACTGACGAGTAAGCACAAATATGCCATTGGTTTCAAACTTAATAAAATTTTCAATTTTACATTTTTAACAAAAATCATTCTGAAATTAAGCTGAATTTTTGTCTCCTATTATTCTTTTATCCTTTCTGTTATTCCTCACTGCTTCTCTAAGTACAAGGCAGGGAAGAATCTCATGACAACCAATACATTTCAGAGGGTTCGCTTTGATAAGTATTAGACTGATTATGTTTGATTCACAATTTTTCTGCACTGTCAACATAGTGAAAAAGTTATCACCATGCAAAGAGTTTTGAGAATAAAATAAAAGTGTCCGAAACATCTATATGCAAAAGTGAATGAAATAAGACATAAGCTCACAGGCTTCATAAAAATTAACTCAACATGAACAAGACAGTCAAATATGTGCTGAAGACAATGTGAGGATGCATCTAGATGATACCTGAATGTAACCTATGAATTAAAATTAAAATCTCCTGCTCTGTGAAGAACTGTCAGGAAAACAAATAGGCCAAGAGCTTAAGAAATAGATTGAGAGACGAGAGATCTGAGAAGGAACTATTAAGATCTCTGGAAACTTAATGAGGAAATAGACAAGTTAGCTAAAAGTTGACCAAAACCCTTGTCAAAAAATTCATGGGTGACACAAGAATAAGTTGAGATACTCTGTGGCATGTGTCCCAGGGAAATGCTGTGGGCAGCTCAAAGGACAATGAAATCCCACTACACATCTTTGAGAATGGTCAAGACCCACAGGGCTGACAGCATCAAACACAGGAGCAAGCAGGCAGAGCACAGCCATATACACAATGTAGATGGTGGGGGTGTGGAATAAGAACACAGCTTTTTAGGAACCTACGATAAGGACAATTAGAATCTGCTCTCAGCAATGCCATAATTACTTACCATATTCACGATGGTATATACACAGGGACAATCTCCTGGCATTCTTCCTTCTAATTAAACTTTGTAGCCTTTGACTGATACCCCACAACTGTCTACTCCCCAGCCTCTGGTCACCATTCTCTGGCTTTTTCAGAGTCCACACATAAGTATAATCACGACATGCTTCTCTCTGTGTGTCAGCCCTCTATCCTTCAATGTAACACCCTTCAGGTTCACCCAGGTCATCACAAAGGATAATATTTTATTCTTTCTTAAGGATAATCACATCCCACTGTGGATATTGGCATATTGTCTTCGTCCATTCATTGGCTGGTGGACTATGCAATGATTTCAGTTACTGTGAGCAATAACACTATGAAAGTAGGCATTCAGGTTTCAGGTCTCATTCAACATTCTGGTACCAAGTAGGGGACTGCTATGCTATATGTGTGTTTTATACTTCATTTTTAAAAAAGACTCACTGAGTTGGTCTCCTTAAAGTTTGCACCAAGTAGCATCCACCAGTGGTAACACTTGTTGTCTTTCCTCATGAAAAGTTTCAAAAGCTGTCAGACTGGGAAACAGGGAAGCCGCGCCTCCCTAGGGCACTGGGCATGTGTTGGGCACTGCTCAGCTCTGCTAAACACTGTTAAGTGACTGTTAATATCAACAGCAAGTTCTTGTTATAGCATTCCTGATATTTGTTTTGCTATAAATAATCAAAGACACCAGGGAACGGGGTTATCTGACTCCCTAATTGGTAGCTATTAGATTCTTCCCTGGTGCCCTTGCTGCCTTGACTGTCAGCCAAGACACTGGCAGAGTACCCTCAAGCCAGCACTGACTGCATCGAATTCTCTAAGGCAGTAGTTCTCAACTTTCCTAATGCTGCGACCCCTTAATACAGTTCCTGGTGTTGTGGTGACCCGACACCCATACAATTATTTTCTTTGCTGCTTTGTAACTGCAACTATGCTACTGTTACAAGTTGTACTGTAAATATTTGTGTTTTCCGGTGGTCTTAGGAAACCAAGTGAAAGGGTTATTGGACCCCAAGGGGTCACAACCCACAGGTTGAGAACTTGTGTTCTACAGGCACCACGTGAGAGCTGCACAATGACTGCAACTGCTTGGCGCCGAGCACAATTCTAGCTCACTGCCATCGTCAGAAGCTAGGAATCCGCCCAGGACTCTTGTGGAAGAGCTTCTCCTGGCAGAAACCAGGAGCCTTTCTGGTGAAGAATGAGGACCTCTCACAGCTGACTGGTCTCTGTGCCTTGGATTTGAATTTCCACTGTGGGTAATGGAGATGAGGATCGATGTGGTACATTTGTGGGACTCCTTTCTTTGGTGTGTTTATTTGCCTTCTTGCTGTTGACATTTTTGCATTCCTAATCTATTTTATTTGCATGTATTTTCTCTATTCTTGGGTTATTTCTTCACTTTGCTCATTTACCGTGCAGTGTGGAAGCCTTATGTTTTGAACAATCCATTAGTTTCCTTTTGGCTTTGTTGCTGAAGCTTTTGAGTCATATTAAAAAGCATCAATTCTAAGAATAGTGGCATAGAGCATGCCCCCATGTTTGCTTGCGGTGCTTTTACAGTTTCTGGCTCGTGTTTAAGTCCTGAACACATTTTGAATGGACTGAATCTATCGTAGATTATTTTGATTTTTGCATGTGAAGTAAATAGCGGCATAATTTAATTCTTTTGCATGAAAACTACGTTCCGTTTCCTCAGTACCATTTATTGAAAGAACCATCCTTTTCTCCACTCTATATTTTTGACATTTTTATTTAAAATAAATTGATCATAAAATTATACATTTATTTTATGTTCTTGACTCTGTACATATTTTATGCCATGCTGTTTTGGTGAATAAGGCTTTATAGAACATTCTGAATTCAGGTTATGTGATGCCTCCTGGTTCATCTTTTTTGCTCAAGGTTGTTATAGTCATTTGAATGTTTCTGGTTCATTTCTTCTAATATCTCTGGAAAATGTCACTAGCCTTTTTTTTTTACAGTTATTATATTGAGCCTGTAGATCTTGTTTTTTGGAAAATGTAGATATCTTAACAACATTAATTCTTTCAACCTCTGAGCACATTTTCTTTTTTCATTTAGTTGTTTATTCTTCAGTTTATTTCTTCAAAATTGTATAGATTTTCAAGTAGAGGTCTTTTACCTACTTGATGAAGTTTACTGGGATGTGTTTATTTGATGTTTTCATAACTATGATAAGTGAGATTGTTATCTTAATTTCCCTTTCATTGTTAGTATGGGAAAATGCCTCGATATTAGTGGATTGTCTGTGCGTCCTGCAACTGAATTCCTTTGTTACCTCTGACAGTTTTTTTGTTGTTCTTGTTTGTTTTTTAGTGGAGTTTCAGATTTTTCCCAATATGATATCATGTTATCTGCAAACAAAGACACATTGTTTTCTTTCCAATTTGCATGGCTTTTTTCCCCCTTAGACTAATTGCAAGGACTTTCAGTGTTGCATTGAATAGAAGTAGCCAAGGCAGCTATCCTTGTCTTACTTAAGGCCCTAGAGAAAAAGTTTTTGCTTTTTATCACACAATCTAGCATTAGTGGCTGAGCTTGCCATATACCTGGCCTTCCTCTCATGCCTCCTTCAATAACTATTGTTTTAGAGACTTATCATGGGAGGGTGTTAAAATTTATCAAATGCTTTCTTCACCCATTAAATGTTATATTTATTTCCTCATTAGATACCCTTGACCTGTGAAGATATGAGTTCATGGTTGCATGAATTAACTCAGAGGAGGGTAGCACTCCAGAGCTTGTAACAGGAAGCCAGCCTGGGTTCTTGTTGCCACTCCATCTTTATCTGCCAGGAAAGCATAGGGCAGGCATTCGCCCCACTCTGTATCTGGTGTCTCTTGTGTAGGGTGAAGATTTGCATGTGAATAGCAATTCTTAAATTTTCTTAAAAAAAAAAAAACCAGAAATCTATGAAACCTGTGTCTTCCCAGCTAAACAGTCTCAGGTTCAGGCACTGTGTCTGATGTGAGCAGAGAGTCCAAGACTCCTTTACCCAAGGTTTTTGTTTTGTTTTGCTTTGTTTTACCTGGAAAGTCCTAGAAACAACCATTAAAAAAAAAAAAGATGAAGTGCAGTAGCTGTTTCCCTTCTAGTCCAAATAATTCATGACACAAAAGAACCAAGAGATCTAGAATGAAGGAAGGGGCATCTCGGCTCTCTGATGCTGAGATGGAGGCACATCTTTGTACCATTCAGATGGACGGCAACGGGGTGCTTTTGAGACTCTGAAAAGAAAAGGGCAATTCAATCTGTCTTAAGTCAAGGGGAGCAAGAAGAAACGGAAGATGGAAACTACATGAAGGAAGGGTGGGGTAGACTAGGAATGAGACTAAACGTGTGTTCTCTTAGGCACACATGTAACTTAAGAGAGGAGCTCCGAGGAGCCTGCTAGAGATAGACCGACAGGGACTGTGTTTCCTTCCAAACACAAAAGCATCTTGTTGATAAATCGGTGGATTTTGAACCTTCACTACTGATGTTCTACATCTTAGAATTTAGTTTTCATCCTGGTTGCTAGAAAGACTGGGGAACTCTATCAACATATCATCCATGCTTGAGGAGGCCTTGCATCCTTCAGAGAGCCTGTTTCAGTTTTAAATTCTCCTCTCCTCCCCTCCCCCTCCCTTCCCTTCTCCTCCCCTTTCCTCTCTATTCTCCCTTCCTCTCCCCTCTCCTCCCCTCCCCTCTCTATTCTCCCCCTCTCCTCTCATCTGCCCTTTCCCTTCACCCTCCCCTCTACCCCTTCCCTATATTACCCCACCTTTCTCATCCCCTCCCATACCCTCTCCTATCCTCTTCTTCCTTTCCTCTCCCCTATCTTCTATAACCCTCTCCTCTCCTCTCCCCTCCCTGCCTCTCTTCCTCTCTTCTTCCTTCCTACCCCTTCTGCTCCCACAATATAACATACAGGAGAGGGGCATATATGGATTACAATTTTTAAAGAGTGCTTTGCTGATCTTTTAAGGAAAGAACAAGAATGGATAGCATGCATGGGATTATTGAGGCTGCTAATTTTTTTTCTATTTCAAAGGCCTTTTAAATGTGTGTCATCTTTGGTCAACAGCTTTAGAATTCTAACAACTAACAAGCAACTTTCACAAAGTGTTATTAGGAAGCATATGTTTTATTTTCTTCTAATTCTTTATTTTTTTTTGAATTTGTTCCTCTGTGGTAAGGAGGGACAGAGACTATGTATCTTTAAATAATAAAAATATTCATTGTAATATTCTCATAAACGTCATCCTTGGCCCTGCCATTGCAAACTTTAACAGCCTAGCAGCTAGAGAAGCAAGCAGGGCAAACAATACAAGAGTCATTATTGTAACTAAATTAGACCGTTTGTTTTCTTTCCCTCAAATCAAATTGTGTAGGAGCTGCTTTATTGCAAAACAGACATTAAAATTCCAGCAAGACCTCAGAGAGAAAGTAATTTCTATTTTATCAGTGCTGTAAAGCTGTCTTTATGTTCTGAAGCAGGAAATACTGCGAGGATATTTATAGCTTCAGCTCCAAAGCCAGTTTGAATAGAAATGTTAGCGGTCGCCTGGCTGTCATGCCGCTCGGCGGAGCAGGGAATTTCAGAGAGTTTGTGAATTACTGCTGTGGTTTTGACAAGTCTCTCAGTGAGGCTAGTGTGTGTGTGTGTGTGTGTGTGTGTGTGTGTGTGTAGCTGTGTGGTGTTAGTGGAGATAATGATTAAACCCTTGGATTTGCTTAAACGGGATATTTAAATGATATTCTAGAGATAATCGGTTTCACTCATCAAGTTGTCCTGGAACTAAGATGAGATTTCTAAGTTTGCCATTGGAGTTCAGGATGAACTTTTTTCCTCTTCCTCCTGCTTCCTCCTCCACCTCCCAGCCTTGACCAGTCCACCCAGCCCAAGGCTCCTTAGCTGTTGGCATTGACAGTTGCTTCTTCCCTGGGGTCTGTTGAGTCGATTCATCTTTGTAACTTATGTTTACCTGTGCTGCTCCTGTGGATTACCCTGGGATTCCATCAGCATTATCACCTATGATGTGGAGGGGTGCCCTTGCTTTACCAGGGGAGGGACTGGAGCCTCTGGAGATGGACTGGAGGAATACCTGGCTCCCTCGTGTTCATCCCAGGGGCTTTTATCCTCACTTTTGCATCACACCAGGAACAAGAGAAACGCAAAAGCCAGCCTTTTGAGCTAATTCCTAGGAAAGTCTGGCAACAGAGTCTTTGCATAGGACCAGGGTGACCCTGGGCTAGCAGGAGGTCAAGCCAAGTGAGCCTGGCTGAGCAGGTTTCTGTCCTGAAAGCCATAGGCAGTGTGGGTAAGGACAGATGCTCAGGGTGTCCCCAGAACGAAGGGGGCTGTGGAAGCATGCAGCCTTCTCTTTAATAAAGCTGTTAGAATCTAATCCAAATCGTTTTGCTTTCTTCTCATGGGTCAAGGGTTTGATTTATGCCATGCGGCTCGTCACCTGACTGCTCAGGTCAAAGACAAGATTTAATTCCCTGTGGAGCAATCAGACACTATGGATTTCTCCAAGAACCACCAGCAGAAGCCTTGTCAGATGAACAGCCTGCTTCTCACAAGCAGCATTTGGTGAGAGATGAAGATGCTTTTAAAATCTAAGTTGAGATGGAACTGCCTGCCTTGGGGAGTGTCCAACTGCAGGGAATGTAACTATGTTCTGCACTCACTACTGAAATACTAGAAGTTGGGCTGAACCCTGGAGATCTCTGGTGCATTCCATCACTGCAAACCCAGGTCCTTCCCCTCAGGCTCTGTTCTCTCAGCTCTTCATTTAAACCAGGCCAAATGTAGCCAGCATCCCCTCTGGCTATTCTGCACTCAGATGTGCCTAGTCCAAGATGAGAGACACAGAACATGCACCAGATTCCAAAGACAAATTAGTAAAAAGCATGAACTAACTAGAAAGGTTGTCTGTGTTTTTTTAGATAGATTGTATAGTGAAAGTATAATCTATATTGAATTATCAGATATTTTAAACATACTTTAGTGTTTTGTTCTTAATCTGGTCACTAGAAGTTTTCCAAGGGGACAGGTAGGTTGGTAGATATGTTATGTTGTCTGCATAAGACAGCAAATAGACAAGGTTCTATCTGCGAATAAGGGCATGACTTCTACCTACTGCCTGCTAAGATGGGCTGCTCTTATGTTGTTGGGAGCAACATGAATTAAGGATAAAATTGAAACGGGATATATTAGGCTGAAGTGTGGTACAGTTGCCAAAGTGCTTGCCTTCCAATCATAAGGACCCGAGTTCGATCCCCAGCACCTATGTAAAAATACCTGTGCATGGTGATGTACTCACAGCACTGGGAAAGTAAAGATAGGCTAAATACTTGGGCTCCATGCCTAACCAACCTAGCTCCACTGCTGAATCCCAAGTTTCAAAAATAAGGCAACTATAAACCGAGGAAGACACTTGGCCTACACATGAACATACACACCCCCTCCACATGCATCTGTACACCCACACATACAAACAGGATGTACTATTAAATGTCACTGTTTACAGCCATGGTTCTCATTCCCTTTAGGTGGTCTTCAGAGTTGCGCTGCTTGCTTGTGAAAAACCTGTCTATACCATGAATTTACTAGTTTCTTTAGGTGATTGTCCACACTTATATTTGTTCCCATCCTGCAGTCCCCTGAGACTTCAGAAACAGGTTGCTGCTTGACTGAGGAATAGCAGCAGAGGGCAGGTATACCTCCAGGAAGAAGTTTGAAGGGTGATAGGGCGACCGGCTGAAGATTATTACACCAAGGCATGCACTGAACTGCTAGTCCAGGGTAAACACAGGTCAGGTCAGGTCATGGTGGGGTCATGGCAGAGTTTTCAATTCCAGTTTAGTTTAGCTGTCACTGAACTTCCCTGCCGCGCCCGCTGCGCAGCCTCTATCCGAGAATGTGGCGAGGGTGTCGGGATTGATGTCACAGAGACCAGTCGGTTGCATTAAGAAATCTTTATGCTCCCCAAGAAGGCTCAGTAGAACTTCCCAAGAAACGCTTCCCTCCAGAAAAGCTTCTGCCATACATACACCCACATATGCACACACATTCCCCTTCCTCCTCCTGGCTGGTGGTTAAATCCCTGACACCAGAATCGGCAGTAGCAGCAGAGGGCAGGAAGAGGCAGCTAGCCATTGGAAAGATCAAAGTCAGGGTGTTTCAGTGAGCCAGCCCTTATCGGGAACTTATAGCTCTGGTAAACATTTCTTAGGGCACTGGATTGTTTTCAGTAAACATGTTTTCAGTAAACATTGTCTCACAGCTGCCTGCTCCCAGGCTGATGGAGGAGTGGGTTTCCAGCTAAGGTCTGTTGTTCCCACACTTCCCTGGATTCCCATCTGAACTCAAATGCAAAACATAACCAGAAGTCAGCTACCTTCAACGTGGTCTCAGTGGAGGCATTCCACTTTCTATCACGTTCTATGACAGTTCCCACCAATCTGCCTCATGGTGGGTAAGGGACATTCCTGAGTAGTAAGAAATGGTAAGTTCATAAATTGCTGACTTTTTTTCCTTTACCAAATTCATTAAGACTAATCAGGGTTCCAATGTTGGGCAGGATTCTACAGCTAGTGTGACAACACGAACCCAAGCCCTTCTGACTCAGAATCGATGCTCTTCATGGAACTGTGATATTTGCCAAAAATGTGAGGTGCACACTAAGAGCAAGACCGTGGGGATGAAGATCAGACACAGGGACAGGCAGGTGTGGATCTCCATGAGGAGACACTGACAGCTATTCTTCTAGTTTTCATTCTCCATTTTTATCTTGCAGTTGTGTCTTATCACACACGCACACACACACGCATTTAAAACTCATGTGCTGTGTTTACAGGTAATTATAAGCTCTTTCATGGTTCATGGTCTGTTCTGTTGTGTTTCATACCCACCCACTCTCAGGTGTATTGAATTCTTATGGTTTATTTTGAACTCCCAGTCCTTATTCCAATATTTTTAGTTCCCCTCCCCATGTCTTCCTGCTCACCATGATGTCCCACCATGATGATAATGGACTGAACCTGAGAACTGTGAGACAGCTCCAATTAAATGTTTCCCTTTGTAAGAGTTGCTATGGTCTTGGTATCTCTTCATAGCAATAGAAGCCCTAACTGATATAACAGTGATTTAAAAAAAATCATTCACTTAGAAAAACCCAAATTCTATTTGGATATTTAGTTAACAATAATCTAAGAAACTAAGAACACATAGATTTTTTTAAACAGCAAGATGTTAGTATTTTGAAAATTAAGTCTTGATTTATTTTCCCATTGATGATAATTATGAACTCATGATACTAGTTGAGTACTCTAGATTGATCTGACTAAGAAATGAACTTAAGCAGACTTAGCTATACAGGAGACCAGCATGTGCTTTCTGAAAAAAAAAATTCATGACACTGCTCCTGTCTCTAGGTCACCACAGGTATGGTCTTTCTGAGTGTTGTCACGCCCATGCTGGTCTGCCTGCTTTGTTATTGCTCCTTATGTATATAGTGGGACTAATAGGCTAGCATTAGCTCTTCAGAGCCCCACATGGACTTGTGTACAAGGAAGACAAAGAACCCCTCTCCCACCCAGCACGCTCTTGCTTGGTGGGTATCATAGAAGATAAGATGCTATTGTTCCTGAGGCCATCTTTACTCTGTATTCTCTGCAGCACCATGATTGACCTGGATGCCCTGGGCCAGCCCCCAGTTCTGTAGTTGGCCACTGAAGACACATGTGGTGGCTGGAGGGCTTTTGAGTCCAGGCCCTAGCCACAAGGTAGATTAAATATGCATACTCCACAGCTAACCTGGAGCTCCATCCATTTCTGTCAGCGCAGAATTACCAATAACTAGGAGAAAGTATAATGCTGAGGCCCCAGTGACAGGGAGAATGAAAGGCAGGGCTCCGTATGCTGGGAAGTCATGGCCTTGATTAGAATGCTTCTACAGTATTTATTTTTGCCTAGGACCTATAAATAAGGCCAGCGCCAGGCTATTACTAATGTCTGCCGTCATTTCACATGGCCTCTGTTTTGATGGAGCACCCATTGCTACAAAACAATATTTCCTTCCACCTTTGTCTGCATCTGCTCCTGAGTGGAAAGCCCTCTGAGGGTTCCAGGACTGCGGCTGAGGAGGGAAAAGGCAGGGCTAGGATGCTGTGGCCTTCTCCTAGGAATCTGAGTGAGGACTGGCATCCTTGCCTGCAGTCAGGGTTCATGGATGCAAAAAGTACCTTTCAGGATCGAAGACCAATGTTCTGACCCAAACCCAGCCTTCGTCGCCGTTCCTGTGGGCATTTCTAGCTCTTGCCTAGAAGCTTGTTATGCTACTCTGCACTGTCTTCCTCCAGTCAGCCAGATTCACAGCAGACACACTGTGTATTCACTTTCTCACATTGCCTTCCTTTTCCTGTCACCTCCCACCTCACCTGTTTCTCTGACGTGTTCTGGTTATGTTTCCCAGGCTGTCTTCATACTGGAGATCTCCGGCCTCAGTGCTGGGAGCATTGAAATGCTCTTCTTAATACTGAGCACAGCCTCTCTATCTATCTCTGCTGACAGAAGCACACAAACCTCAAAGAGAAGTTGTTTCAGTTGTCCCATGTGCTCTTCTGGTCCTCCCTCGTATCCTGGGTTTTTATGTAGTCCACTAAAATAACCACAAGAAGAATTTACTATTATAATTTCACACCAGCCCTTCTGTATTTCCTTCCTCATGAAATAAATATTTAGGAAGTATCCGTTGCACACTTTAGAAGTCACGCAGAATGGTGCTGATGGTTTTCTGTGACACCAAAAAGCATAGGTGTGCGCATCATGTATGCTTTGCAAGAACTGTTTTCTGCAAAGCAAAAGTTCATGAGGCTCCGTAACCCATGGAAGGCAATGTGAAAGTTACATTGCAGGGCCACCTCCTGGTTGCACAAATGTTTAATGAAAATGGCTGCTGTCATTGGCTGCTTAGCTCTATCTCTGACTTGATGTAAAGAACAAAACCCTAATGGGTAGAATATGTGTTTGTTTGTTTGTTTTACTATTGTTGTTGTTGGTGGTTATGGTGGTTAGTTCAGTACTTTCCAGCTGACAATCATTGTAGGATTTGAATAAATAAACAGTCACAATTTAACTGAGGTAGATGTGCCCCCCAGACACTCACAAAGCTCATGTCTTTTTGAAATAAGTACTGTGCTTTTTTTTCAGTCTGTTGTTCCCATGTGTGAGGTTAAGGCAAACTAAGAAGAAGGCATGGAATGCTCCCAGGAAGCATCTTCAGGGACATGCTTATCCAGAAAGTAGTGACCTCATCCCATCTCCCAACTTCTCGGTCCTGGTAAAACAGAACATTCTTCCTCGGAAAGTGTCTCAGTTTCCTTCCATCTGGACTGCTTTACAGTGATCACCCATTCTCAAGTCCCTTCCCACAAACATAAAGTAAGTAAAAAAAAAAAACAACCGGCCCACCATAAACCCTCAGTCCCCCACTTGCTCTGTGTGGTCTCTTATTTCTGGATGTTTCCATTAGCTAACAGAGAGAACTTGAGCAGCAGAGCACTGACTGGTTCTACCCCCTACACCGCATAGGACTCCAGGGCTGGGGAGGAATAGATTTTCCTCTTCTACTTCACTGCAGCAATGGTAGATGAAGGACCCTTTACCCATATAAATAAAGCTGCAGGTGCATGCTGGGGCAAGCTGGGACAGAAGAGTGATAGAATTCTCCTGGGAAGCTACAAATATGACAATGAAAAACAAGCACTTATAAGAACAATCCACAGGAGACACAACTTGTGGTGTCTTCAAACTAGCAGATGACAACGAATGCTTACTCTGGGTGCTAAAATGCCCAACCGCAATGTGCAAACTTCTGAAGGCCTTGAGAGGCAGCTCTAGTGTAATGTAAATATCTGGATATAGGGTCCAGAAGATCTTGATTAATTTACTAGTTGTGTGCTCTTAAGACGAGGTCTGACCATGTACCCGAGGCTTGCCCCCTGGACTGCAAAATGAGACATTGAATACTGACTCGGAGTGAGTAGGCAGAGACTGGAGCGTGTCTACACCTCCTGAGCTATTCTAAAGCTTGTGCACTGAGATGCCCATGCTGAGGTGTGAACCAGGACCAGTTTACGTGGACCATGAGCAAATCACCCACGGTGGGTGGGAGTAGGCTTAACGTTGAATCACTGTAAGATAAGGCAGGGGCTCTGCAATGAGGAGAGCTGATGGTTAGCTGCAAACCGACTTTCTCCAAGCCATGTTATTACTCAGTTCTAGAATGCTTTTGTTTTTTGCATCAGTATTGCATTTAACTGTCTTGCATCGAAGAACCGAAAGAGAAAGGAAAAGTGGGGAGACGTGGGATGCTTGCTTCCCCTCCCCCCGTCATCACGTACGAGGTGGTCAGTAACACAGACAGACAAGTGGACCGACATACATTCATACTCAAAGACAAAGAGAAACAAACTGATAGACGGTTGGTGGGGGAGAGAGACAGAAACAATATACTTGGATATAGAGAGACTTTGTATATGTGCCTGAGTATAAGACATATACATATATACACACAGAGAGATAAACACACGTACACACATGTATACACACATACATATGAGAGGGGGTGGGAGGGAGACGGAGGAAGAGAGAGGAGGGGAGGGATGAGGGGAGAGAAAAGAGAGGGGAAGGGAGAGAGAGAGGTCCTGTTATTATCTTAATGGCTTTCACTGAGAACGCAGCAATAGTTGGAAAGGTTCCTACTTGATGGAACTCCTGGAATTCCCAGCACTCACCTTGGCACGTTCCACACAATGAGTCATGGAGAACTTATTTACTCATTCACCTTATTGATGGCTTGCTTGATTGCCTAATTGCCAGTAATCTATTACAGGCTGAACATAGTTAAAATTCATAACTGTACAGAGAAACTCATGAATTAAATGTCTACTCTAAGTCACCCAGAAGACTCTAAATAAAATCACCCAGAAGACCCCCCCCAATATCAAGAAAAATTCCCCCAAACTGATTACGAACTAGACCCTATTATCGTGAGAGGTAATCCCACTTCTCATACCCCGATGAAAGGCTGCATAGTGAGGGACTTTGGAAGGAACTGGACCTGAGAAGAGCAGAGCCACATCCAGAAGGAGTGTCCATAGGAGCCCTGGAAACACCGACGTTTGTGATGAGACTTGAGATCATGTCGCAAGATAGGAATGGATCAGTATGCGTGAAGTGCAAATATGAGACACCAAGTCACAGCTCCCGCTGTGGAAAGAGTGTGGATGAAGCCTGAACACGGAAAGAAATGCCAGAATGGGGTTTCCATACCGAGTGGCCAGCATGGAGCATAATGACTGAGTTTACTATGATTTTATTTCTGTTGTCTATAACAGACTAGGGTTTGAGCCCATGGCTCTGGAAATGGTTGGCAGGCAACCCATCACTTAGTGACATATTACCAGTCCCCTCTTTACTTTTTATTTTGAGGTTTCCTTGCTAGGCATTCCAGGCAGGCCTTGAACTCACTCTGTATCCCAGGCAGACATTGAACTTGAGATTCTTCTGTCTTAGTCTCCAAAGTAGTAGCTGGGATTATAGACCCGAGACACCATGCCTGGCTTAAGTATAAAAGCTTAAATAGAATCAACCCCCCAGCATGTAGCTAAGAAAGACAATACAATCCCTGAGTATGTTGTGCAATCACATCTCTGTGCAAGCTATTAAGGCAGTTAGTTCTATGAGCGTGGGCAATGAGGTTCTCTTTGAGCAGCATGGGTGGCTGAGGAGAGAGAGAAAGCAGATTCTGTAACTGAAAGAGTGCACAGACTTGGGCACAGACTCTTGGTGTGCGAAGGCAACTCTACCTGCACAACTATGGTACCATGTCACCTGGATATATAGGCAGCTCTAGATGACCCCTCTCAGGATCAGATAAGGCCGTATGGAAATACATAGATTAATAGTTAGGAGTTAATAATTAAGAGAAAGCTAGCCAGTAAGAAGCCCTACCATGGGCCAACAATTTATAAATTAATATAAGCCTCTGTATGTTTATTTGGGGGTAATCGGCTGCAGGACCAGGCTGGAAAGAAACTCCAGCTACACACCTCTACCTACACAACCACAGTACTATGTCACCTGGATCACTACAGGCAGTTCTGGATGACCCCTCTCAGGAACAGAGAGCCCTGGAGGAGGCCTGCCGTTTCCACCTGTGGAGCTAAAGGCAGAAAGAGATGTGGATCTGAGTGCACTAGGCTAGGGCAGGGAGGCAGCCACCTCCACTTGTTTCAATAATGAAGTGCTCTAGACAGTCTGGGAAGCACCTCTATGTGTCTGCATGGAAGCACTTCACTTCAGAAAGGACGGTAGGCCTAGAGAGGGAGATAAAAAGACCAGGTCCTGAGGCGGAATTGAAGCATGGAGGTCCTATGGGGAAGGAGGAGGACCGGGGGGGGGGCTTCTCTTCTGACTGCCTTAAAGGGTCTCAGTGGGAAAGACAGGAAGAATGCTTGAGGGCGAGAGAAAGGAGGAAGAGCAACAGCGTTGTGCAGTGTAACTGCGGACACCATTTGAGTTCCTCTCCACCCTGCCGGGCTCCCACACTGAGCTCACCCTAGATTGTCTCCTGCATTCTGCCCAGAGTCTCTTCCAAAGAACACTGTTTGCCAGCTCACTAGTGGGGACCGCACGTTCACACAGGTAACCATCACCAGAGACAGTTCTTGGCCAACAGCAACCACATGATGTGCCTTGGTGTCCTCTGTTGGTAGAGAGCCCCAGGGTGCATACTCTGAGCTTCCAGGAAGGAGGGAAATGCTGAGCCCTTGGTGCCCACAGCAGATTAACCTCATTCTTACCTCTTTCTATCCCCAACTTGTAGAGCGAAGCCTTCCCGACAGCATGGTTCCAGAGCCGCATCAGTCCCAAATAAATACACAGGAGGCTATATTAATTATGAAGCTGTTGGCCGTTTGCTTGTTTCTTATTGGCTAACCCATAATTGTTAATCTAAGTATTTCTCTTACTGGAGAAAGGGTCCGTACCTTTTACTCCTCTGGAGGCTACATCATGACTCCTTGTGTTTCTCTTTCCCAGAATCCTCCTCGACTCCTAGTCCCATCTATCTTGCTTCCCTATTGGCCAACAGTGCTTTATTCAACACCCAATAAGAGACAGATTTACAGAATGGCATCTCCCATCACCAACTTCCATTTGCCTTAATTTTTTTTATTTCACTTACAAATACAAGTATATGGTCAGCTTAGGTGCTACATTTTAGAGAAAACTAAACTAAGAAAAGACTGGAATGGAGTGTTAAGGAGAAATTGTCATTTTGGGGGGTTAGCGAGATGGCCCAACCATTAAGAGTGCTCACAGAAGACTTTAGTTCCCAGCACTCACATGGAAGCTTGCAACCATACAAAACTCTAGTTCCAGGATATACAATGACCTCGTCTGATCTCTGTGTGTAGTAGTTACATAAATGGTACATATGTGTAAAGGCAGATAAACACTCATGCACAAAAATGAAAACAAATCAATCTAAAAATAATTCTAAAGGATAAATTGTATTTAACAATTCTTGAGCTCTGAATTTGTAACAACAGCTCACCATTTGCGTGGTCTGACTTGTGAGAAAAACTGTGAAGATTACAAGCCAACTACTGCTTCTGTAACCCAGGACAATATTAATCACTGTGAGACACAGTTTCTTAATTTTCTTCTGTCTCTTAAAGATGAACAATGAAGCCATGTATTTAATATATTTAACCTGCACCAAGCATGTTAGCTGCCGTTATTGTCAACAACAGTAATCAATCAAATTTGTTGATGGCAGCTGGGAGAACTTCTAGTATCCACTAGTGTAGCCTGAGTGCCCTTCTCAAACCCCAGGGGTGAGCAAGTCACACAATAACTTTCCGGCCTTGGGACCATTAACAGAAAATGCATTTCTAGATTGACACTTCCAAAGTGCAGCATTTAAAGTCTTTAAAATGTGACATGACTATTTTGACTCCACCCAGCACATACCAATATGTCTGGTCAAGAAAAGAACATGTGTCTGTTCAAAACTTGAACTCATCATGTGAGTGTTTTTTGCACTTAAATCATCTCATCATCTCACAAGACACTCAGAAAAAGATCAGCTTACTAGTTTATGGTCATGGCTGGTCTATGTTCAAAGGAAATTAAATGTCAGCAACAAGGAAATTGTAATGGAAGGCCATGGGAGACAGGAGGAAGTTTCCAAAAGTTCTCTAAGACTTAGATGACAGAAGCCAAGGATACATGTTATTTAAGGGTTATCAGGGATGTTAGAGACCATCAACCTCCCAGTTACAAATGAGAAAACCAAGCATAGCAAGGACATATGATTTGGTGTAGGATAGACTGATATAAGGAGTGGGCTCAAACTCATGCTTGATCACCCAAGATAGAATCAGCATTAT